ATGCGGGCAGGAACGAGATGCGGACGAAGCCGTACCGATCGCGTATCGGGTGCCTGCTGTACATCACCACTTGTACCCGCCCCGACGTTGCGTACGTGGTGACGCAATTGGCAAGATTCTTGAAAATCCCAGGGAAACCGCACTGGAAGGCGGCCATCCGCGTTCTTCGTTACCTCAAGACTACGAAGGCAATTGGGGTCGTCTATCAAGGGGGCACAAGTGAACTGAAGGTCGAGGCATACACGGACGCGGATTGAGGCAGTAATATTGACGACCGACATTCGGTGTCGGGGATCATTGTTATGATCGGACAAGCGCCCGTGATCTTCGAGTCCAAGTACCAGCGCACGGTGCGCTGAGCTCAGCGGAGGCGAAGTACATGGCACTGAGTCTGTGCACTCAAGAAGTACTCTGGGTGCGGCGATGCTCAAGAATCTGGGGCATGAGCAAGTGGGACAACTCGCATATGGGAGGACAACCAAGAGGCGATCGCGTTGGCGTTGAACGCCGGCTACAACGCAAGGACCAAGCACGTGGACATTTGCCATCACTAGAACGTGACCAGGGAGGCTATTGACGTCCACTATATCGGCACGGAGAAGCAGTTGGCGGACATGATGACGAAGCCGCTGGGAACCAAGCGACTTCGTGTACTTCGCTCGGCGAGCGAAGTACGCGCCAAGCCCGCTGCGCATTGGCGGCGAGTGAGAGTGTTGAAGTGGCGCCGCGTAATGAGAGCTGGACGAGCCAAAAACTCATCGATTGATGACGTGAAGGTGATCAATGGTCTGGAAGGCGCGTGGGGCACGCGCATGAGCTCGGCAAAGATAGGGAACTGACTCGACGAATGATGACTGGGATTGGCGATTCACGTATGGCAAGATTTGATTGGGAGATAATGTAGTGATTGCTGGATGTGATTGGATCACATCAAAAACTCTCTCGCGACCATTCATCTTGTTGGGGTGTCGCAGAGAGAAGCTCGAGGGCGGCCGCTGCAGAGGCACACGGAACAAGAAGGGCGCACAGGAAGGTAGCAACGGATATGTAGGACGGGTAGATTGTGTAGCTGCTAACTAATTTATTTCGGCTTTTGCCCTCCACTACTCAACAAACACATATGCATTTAAAAATTTTACACTTGGTGTAATAACAGATACGGAAATATCAGTATGTGTAAAGATTATGGATTTCCGAAAGGTGGGACGATGGCTGCTAGCTGTACATCATAATTTGAATGTACTTTACTATTATCTGTCTAAAAAAATGATCTTTAATATGTGTACCCTTGGAATAGCAGATTGAGCAAATAGTGAAAAAGCATTCGATATTGCTTCTGTAGGAGCACACGAACCCAACCTTTGTGCGATTGTTAGCGCGGACTCTCAGGATCGATATACGCTGGAAGCTTGGTGCCAGAGGCATTGATGGTGCAATTTGAAAGTAAATTGTAGAAGTAGCTTTATGAAAGTAAACTTGCTTCCAATCAAGTACGTAGCTATTCGCTTCTACACCTTTATTTGCTACTACTTTTGAAGAGGCAGTCACGAGGCTGCAGCCCATGTTCTGTGCATTTAAAAGGGCCAAACCGATTTTGTTATGTCTTGCTGGGTTTGTTGTACTATTAGATTTTATAACGTATCTCGCAGGAGGCTCTGACAACAGACTCCGCAATACAATGTGCAGATCCTGTACTGCGATGGGCATGCAACAGACAGGTGATCCATAAAGCTTGCTACCGTATGTGAAAAACAAATCATCAACCCTCGTTGTGCTCCACCAAATTTGGCGTTGGATTCCTCTGTTAAAAAGGACAATTTGAAAACGGATATCGTTCTGGCTGTTGTATTCATAAACGAGTCAAGTAATTCCGATTGCAGACGCAGTATAATAGCTTTAACTATCGAAACATACTGATTAGTCACAACAAAGTGCTAGTGATATTCAAGACATTTATGCCAAAGCGAGGACAAAGTCTACAGATGGAACGAGTCTTTCCATTTGTTCTTACCAGAACGCTTAGTATGTGGACCACAATCCATGAATTCTACTATGCTAAATGTGTGCATCAAAGCAGTCAAATGAAATTCTCAAAAAATGTCGAACTTATACTTCTCATATAATCCTCAAGTCTAACGAGCAAATTTAGTTGCGTAGCACATAAGTGTCCATACATTTATATATATTAAATAATATTAACAAATTAAGCTGTTATGTCCGTTTGATCACGGCACGACTCAAGGACTAACGCATGTCAAATCACGGAAGGTACTGTGATTGCATACTTTGTAAGATCTGTTGTGCAGGGAAGTTTTCATAGGCTGGGCACAGCGTTGAACCTTCCAATGCTCCCTTTTAGCCCACTTTTCTTTTCATCGGCCAAGTTCAAGAACAATCAATCTTCTCTTCATTACCGATGAAGCTTCTCGTGCCCACGATCTTCGCCACACTGGTGTTCGCTTTAAACGAGGGCGCTCACGCGCTTAACGTAAAAATGCCCGGTATCGTCTACACTTCGCGCAATTCGATGACACGAGTCAATGACCCTGACTATTGCAAACCTGTGGCTGAGGTAGAGCAGGACATGTTAACTTTGGCAGGTATCGCCGAAAAGGTTCGCATCACTTCTCTCATCGACTGTAACCAGTCTGAGATTGTACTTCCAGCTGCCAAAAAGGCTAACTTAAAGGTTATGCTCGGCATCTGGACGTCTGACGGTAATGATAACGAACGATTTGTTAAAGAGAAGGCTAAGTTGGGCAGTCTGATAGATATGGGGCTTTACGACGACAACGTCGTCGGTCTTTGTGTGGGTAACGAGGCAGTGCATCGTGGCGAAATTCCTGTCACTACTGCCATCTCTTATCTTAACGAGATTCGTGAAGTAATTCGTGGTCGTGGCTACCAGACACCGCTCACAGTTGCTGACAGTTCCGACGTGCTCGAAAACAGTGCCGAGCTCATGGATGCAGTTGACTTCTTTGCTGTCAACATCATGCCGGATACAACTGTTCACGATGCTGATAATTATATGCTCAATCAAATTCGCACCTTACGTGGGTATGCGTTGGCAAGGAACAAGACGATTACCATCACACAAACTGGCTGGAACTCACGCGTTAGTACTGGTGTTCAATCTGAAAGCCAAAGCAAATACTTTACCGAGTTGTACCAGATCACTCGACTGATCGATATCGAATTTTACTGGTACACTGCTTTTGCTCCGAGAACTGGAATGTCTCATGGTTACAATGAAGTAGAACTTTGGTATGGCCTTTTCAATCGAGATGGTAAGATGGAGAATTCGTTCCAACAACTCAACATTACGTTGTTGGAACCCTATTACATTCGTCAGACCAAGTCCAACTTGTTCTTGTCTGAAAGTGATAGAGAAGTTTTCATGTTTGACAAAACTGGCGGATGGAAGATCGAGGATGAGCAGCTCTGGCTCATTGATACCACAAACAATGCTATTAAAAGTCTCAACAGTGCCATGTGTCTTTCTGGCATTTCTACAAGCCAAACCACCAGCCTCATTGAATCGAGAACATGTTGGTATCCATCTTCTGTCCAGATGTGGTCATTTGACAACTCGACTGGCCTATTACAGCAACTCGACGTAAAACATTGTTTGCACGTTCAACCAAATGAACCATATAGCTTGTCTCTAGTACCTTGTGTACCAGGCGACGACAACCAACAGTGGACTCTAGTACCCCGTGGGAGCGCTTAGGTCGTTTTATCTCAAGGAGTCAAGCACCTGAGACTTTAGTAATACTATGCTCTAATCTAGGCATTCTAATAGAAATTTGCTCCTTAGAAAAGTAAGTATGAGTATTTTCTTGACTTTATTGCCGAGACTTCATTAGTATCATACAGAAGCACTTCAGGAAGTACGATAGTAATAGGATAAATTTAACAAAAACAAAAAAACTAATAAAAATCTTTTGGACAATACTATTTCTTTTGCAAACTAACTACGATAATAGGCTTGGTGTCCCACAGAACTATAGTCACATCGTCTTAATTAATACCTGCCTTTGTAAATTCGAGATTTTAAAATTACAAAAAAGTAAAACGTGCAATGCAAAAAGAAGAGTAAGGTGTTTGTGCGCAATAGCCCAAGAAATGGTAATTGCATTCTTTTCGAGAATGGGTACTTACATGAAGAACCTTGGTAAGAGAGGCGTTCCTAATGTTAGACAGTTTGAAGCGGCATCTGTCTCTGGTGTTCGCACCACCTCATCAGGCGTATAATGTGAATTTGACGTACCTGTCTCTGGTGTTCGCACCGTCTCATCAGGCGTATCAAGTGAATTTGATGTACCTGTCTACCCTTATGAAAGGCAAAAGTTAGTGGACATTATTCAGATGCTTGTCCCTCGGACGCGCTAATGGTCACCATCTGCATGAAGAATCTTCAAGGAGGTACACATCACACCGAGACCTTCCACACCAAAAATACATCTTTTAAGCAAGTAATGGGCCTTACAATTAGTAAAGAAAACATTTTCCATGCCGCAAGGGCGGACAGCAAATCCCTGGAGGGGAAATATCAAGTTCGGAAGGCGCGGCGTGGCTTGGGCTCTATGATATGCTATGAAGGTTGTGGCCAATAAAACCCAGCTATCAAAGAAGCAACGTCGTTAAAGGAGGTAGTGCCCTCGAGCTGGGCCCTATTCTACATCACGGAGGTCGTGCATGATAAGGTCCAGCTCTTAAAGAACCAATTCTCGCTAAGAGAGGTGAAGCTTAAAGCCTAGGATTGATATCAACTTCCAGGGCTTCGTGAGCCGCGAATTGTTTTGGTATAATTAAAAGCGTTGTGCAAACAGGTTAATGTGTGACTGTCAAAACCAGTAAACAGCAAATGTATTGCAGACGTTATTTTCGAATACGATATCCGTGCGTCTTGCGATGCGATGGGCACACTGGTCAAAGTGTCAATCGTTATGTCGAGTCTTCAAGTGAGATTTTAGGACGTTATCTGTCCTGGACCTAGATCTAAAAAATCTTATTCTTAGTATGGTGTGGATAAACGCCACTAGCCATGGTCGACTGGAAGTCAGAGAAATTTGGTGCCACGGACTTCTCTCATTCTGAATCTTTGGCCCTATTTCTTCTAGAAAGCAGTAGTACTTCTAGCGCGGGTATGAAATTAAGCAAGCTCCCGAGCAGGACATAAAATTGTTCGAAATTGACATAAATAGTATTGCTAGATGTCTGTGGCAGAGATTGTACAATCGAGCTTGATTGTAGTCCGGTGACGGAGATCGTGAACGAGGAACTCGTCGTTGAGATCCAAGAGCCGAATCACCCTGCGCCACAGCACTACGAAGTTGATGAACTTCGTCACGAAGACGTTAATTCTCCGCTTAGAGCCGAGCGGATTTCGTTCACAGAGCAGACATTGCTGCGTGAACGTTCATGTCCACCGTGGAAAGCAGAAGCGTCAATGAGCCGAAGTCTTTGGATAAGACGAAAAATGACAAGTGGTTATTACAAGACCCAAAGAATATTTCCTTTGAGACATGACTGACGACTGTATAATGTGGCTCCACAGTGTAACTCTGGCGGGACTGTAAGATACAGCTGTCGGCTGTTTTCCCTCTTGCTAGCACCGGTAGAGTTGGAGGGCAACCGAATATGGGCAAGGCTATGATAAGTAAGATAGTCTACCATTCTTTCGATGTGTTATTACTGCTGAGTCAGCAATATCTCGTGATGGGTTCACTGTGAGTAGCAGCTGGGATCCACAGGTGAGTGGTGATAAAAATTATTTTACTCGTGAATGGAATGATCGGAAGTGTTTTCGCCTCACTTTCATCGGCAAAGGTACTACAGAGCAGGAGGAGGGGCCTCTCGAGCATATGTGCAAGGCGATGAGGTCACTGAAATGGAACGGTCACTACTGGATGAGGAGGAGGAGCAGAGAGAGCCATCCGCCATTATAAAAGCTATGATTTATAATATTCTCAGGAGCCATAGGGTGAAGGCTGGGATACTTATTCACAAGAAATGTACCGATTCTTTGTTATAGGAAAACCACGACAATCACTATACATGTTATCCCTGGATAAGGGAGTGCTCCATGTATCTGACTTGGCTGCCCGATTGAATTTTGTGTCACACAGCAATGACAAGATGATGGGATTGAGCACTACTTTTCAAGGCATGACCGAGAGTTCAAAAAGTGGCATACCTTGTTGGTTTGCTTTGCTGTTTCAAAAGCATATTTTTAAAAAGCTAAATTGTTTTGACTTATTCTATAGATGCGCTTTTCTCAATATGATTTAGTCTTTGTTCCAGTGCGGCTTGCACTTCATTTCGACCGTTATTTTAGTTCTTATAGTAGTCACAATAACACCAAATTAGAACCGTTAAACCGAATTGTATCTAATATAATTACTTCAATAGGTAACGAGTGAGTACAGAGTTTTTCGTACACGTCGCGTTACATTACGCTCCAAGCAAAACCCGCAAACTTGATTTGCAGACGTGTCAACTCTTTGGTCGACTCAACACGATCTTTCGGAGAGAGCTACAGCTTACGGGTGGGTTTTGCAGGGACCCCGTTCCGAAGCTATATATATCCAATTCGATCATACTATTGATAAAGGGGACTATGACAATTTGCTGCTCCCAAGAGGACAAATTCTTGGTTCCACAAAGACGATATATTTCTTCTGCATTTTTTCAGACGAACTTGTACTGATCACGCGCGATCGAATTCCTTAATTAAATTGGTATCGTCGTGCGATAACACTTTGTGAATGATTTTTAAGATTTCAGACGATGGTGCGCTCTCGCTTGGGGCACCTCACGCAACACGTGTCGAATACGACTTGGTCACAATTTATGATAGACAAGCTCGTGCTCAGCCTAATTTATGATGGTGAGGCGTCGCATACAACGTTCTCGGCAACTTGTCAAGGTGCCCATCTTAGGCGTCAGCGTCACCATCTAACCTGCTGTAAATGACGACTGTGAGTGATACAAGACTGCAAAAATGGATGACAGCGAGCTAAGAGCTGCTAAAGCTGGTTTTACCTCACACAGGTGGCATTCAATCTTTAAATTAACTTTTCCGCTGCAAGGATTTATGATTGACGTCAGCATGACGGCGAGCGGTGAGCATTTTCTGGTCAAAATCTCGGTCTAGATCACATGACGTGATATCCTCCCAGTAAGCGGACTTAGAAAATAAATGAATAATCGGCTTCGACAAAACTGTTTCAAAGGAGATCCAGCTCATTTGGATCTGAAGCTGCATTGCTCGCTCGCTGCCAGCTCGGCGCATCTTCGGTGCATTGGGATAGCCTTTGATCAGCACAAACTTTGGCTGGGCACGTCAAGGACCTTTGGCTTAGGGTCAATTGCAGGATCCAAGCACGAAAGTTAAATTTCGCCGTAGCAGCACGACTTTAACCTTCGACACTTTGACTTAGCCTATTTGGACCAGCATGATTGTCTTGAGCCCTTGACTAACACGAACATGCCAAGCTGTCCAACTTCTAACAAGCGATAAATGCTCAACGGTTGAAGTGAAAACAAAGACAATGCAGACTATTGAGCGCCTGAGTACACAGAAGATAGTTTATGCGTGCTTCTAGTGTCGCTTTCACAGTGAAATGACGTGCTCGGACAATGCAATTTATTTCGAGCGCTTTGTTGTGTCATGTGGACAGGAGCGCTGCCTGTGATGCAAAACCAAATATCTTTATAAACTTACCAATCCCACGATTCTTCATATCCGGCATTCCTTCCACCAACTACACGGAAAGGATAAGAATAAGCTCATTGAATGGACAATGATACAGACGTAGTTCCAATGATTTACAAGGAAAAGACCATGCCTGTCGTGAAGTCCATTGAACATCTGCGCAAAATTCTGCTTTCTGTCGAGTCCATAATCACAAACCGTGCATAACATACTACACGATATACATGACATCAGTGCTGTACAGTATCTGTCGGAACTCGAGCCCACAACTCTCAAATGATAGGAGAATTTGAGCTTCGAGAAACGATTTTCTAACAGTCACGTATTTCATACGGCCCACTAGCCAGTAAGAAATTTATATGCTCCAGGACCTCCTGCTACCTTTAGCTTTTGTATTCCACTAGTGTACAATCGTCAAAGCTTTCCATTTAGCAGACCTGCCCATTTGATATTGAGGGCGTGTCGGGTGTGATTCGGCTGCAATTTTTTCATCTGATGCACTCCAGCAGCACATATGTAGTGTCAGATGACACAGCCTTCTTTTTCTGTTCTTTTAAACCTGCAGATGTGAAACAACGTCGATCTGATAAAAAATGTCCTTAAGCGCCGAATAGAAGATTCGAGGAGCTCATCCGTTACGTCTGGTACAATCCTTGCGACTCAACGCCTGATGTTGCCGGTACGTGTCGCAATTTGTGCTGATTTGGATGAAAGCAGCCAACTTGTGCTTTTTGTGGTAATAGAAACGTTCATGTCGCCATTCAGAAATTTGATCGGATAATGTACGAGAATAAATAGAATCAGTTCTTGCCTGCAAATGCTAGTGCAGACAATGTTTTCCCCTGCTGCAATTAATAAGGAGACATAGAAGTTGAGACTTACCCGTCTGAGGTATAAGTCTGGAGAAGATTTAGAACAGAAGTTGAAGTTTGATTATCATATATCAGCGTCCTTGGACCCAGCAAGCGCGAGCGACTTTCAAAATTTGTGATGGTTGTTCTGTCAGCAGCTTCTGCTAAAGTGTCAAGATATTGATGCTACAATGTCCGACGCAGAAAGCGACGATAACGACATGGACGACAACAACAGCTATGACAGCAAAGATATAAATGTAGATGTACCATTTAAATTTGCTGACAATGAAGCACTCGCGGAATAGAGAATCCAAAGTCAATTTTTATGTTTGCGGCTACAGCTTTCGAAAATGGACTGTTATCAGTCGAGGTGATGTATTCAGTAGGCAATCTATCACGACAGTAAATATTGGCGAAAGTGACTGCATCGACAACCGGAGGAATGCAGTACGGGCCTCGTGTGTTGCATGAAAAGTGTATCGGTTCGCACTCGATATGGCTATTCCAAGACAACTTGGTAACGGCATTCAACGCAAAATCTGCTAAGGTGCTCAAAGTGTTTCTACTCCGCTTTTTCAAGCCGTGAGATGACAAGCTTGTGAAAGCCTCACCTTGGAGTAGACCAGTATCTGCCCACATCTCTCGAAGGAGTCCACATCTCGCCTTGTAGCTACAAGTGTCATTTGGACCGCTCAAGGCAAGCTTGCGTTGTCCTGCCCTTCGTTGACCGCACAGAAGGCGATCGCACTCGTTCTAACCTATGCTTGGAAAGGAGAGATTGTAAGCAACTGCCTGAACGCGGCCCCTAGATGCGGTGTGGTGCCTCGTATCAAACTTCTCCTCAAGAGCAATTTAAAAAAGGAATCGTGTCAGCTCTATAGACATTGTGAGGCGTATCATTCTTAACAACAGATCTTTCGAGTGCTCAACCAGTCACATACGCCAGGGCATACAAGTACAACACGCGAACTCACTGCTTTGCAACGGAAACGATGGGATTAAAGTACAAAAGACGACACCAACTGAGACATAGGCGATCAGAAATATTTTCACAAGTCAAATCTAATTACATGATCAATGTGCGAAAGAACGAAGGCCGATAAGAGGCTGGACCTGGAATTGCGTCAGTGAGGGACTATGAAAACACCTGATCAAGTAATGAATCAATCAAATCAAGTTTCTAGGTCGATTGAGATATTGCTCCATCTGATTCATGTAATCTAGATAGCCTCTGCTAGGCTACGCTAGCGCAACGAAACTTACTGTTGTAGTGCACTGGAGTGCTTAGTGTGCGTGATCATTCAATTGCTTTGTCAGGCGAAGGTACTGGTACGACGAGACTCCGTTACGGAAACATCCGTGGGACACGTGCTATTAGCCTCACTTACGGCAATACACATACTCTTATAATAAACGCAGTGGAATAGATTTCTTAATATTCGCCGGGATATAGTTAGACCTAACGATCGCTTCTTGAGCCAGAAATTAAGTACAAACTACGTAAGGATTTTCGGGTGTAGCGTACGAGCCCTTCCTCTGGTATTTGCTTCCTCGGACTCGTAAAGCCAAATATGTTTTTGAGCGAGGTGTACGGCGACACCATTGTGCTTGGTGGCACTTATTGTAGATCCTACGACCAAGTCGTAGACAGACCAGATTCAGAAGGATTGAACACGATTCGTTTGACTATTTGTCTTCGGGACAACCATAGACCCTTAAGTATGTACTTTGACTGGTGGCGAGATGATAGCACGATTGGCGGCCTATTGAGCACAATTAGTGATGAATCACCTGCATGTGCTCAGCAGCTATGATGATGCACGGGTTACCTGGTGAAGCGGATCAAAAGTTCCTAAATTTTTAAAAAATCTAGAAGATGTCAAAACCACGTCAGCAAATTTTCCTAGCCGCCGTAACATTTTTTTAGTCCTTAGCTCTCCAGGAGAAAAGACATCTCCCGTGCAAGCACTTCCCATGGCTTGGCCTTCTTTCAAATTTGACACTTGGCCGGTAGCTGTATATTCATGATCATAGAGATGCACAGTGCTGTTAACAGCAAGAGCGAATTGTCATTAAGCCATCACCTCGACGTTTGAGTTGTGCTTTGGCCCCTACAAGTGCCAGCATTAAACATCGCTTCTGTCGGACGTCGGCTCCACTGAATTTGGTTTCTAAAGCTCCGAGACGAGTAAGACGACGTTGTTGATCATCCACTTTACGACGCAAGTACTCGGCTCTTCGACAATCTTGACAGCCTTGCATACCGGAGGTCAAGCTTCGAAGGGGTACCAAATTACTGAGTTACTGCTACTCTAGAGGCATGCGTTTCATTCAGAAGTTATTGCTGAAAAGCACCAGTGATGATATACCGGTAAGAAACCAAGCTAAACTGTACCCCAGTAATATTCAGTAAAGTAAACGACGGAATATCAAATAAGAGTGGATGACAGAGTACCCAGTAACATCCTGAATATACCAGCCGATTTTGCGAATTATAACGCCAACCAGAGTTGACGAGGCCAACGTGAACACCCTACCGAGATGCCTTGAAGGACACCAGTTCGTACCTTTAATAGGCTAGCATGGAAGACGAGATGTCATCGTCAAGATAAAGCGTGCAATTTGCATTGACCTAATGTCAATTGATCATTGAGAGTTCTGTGACGGTCATGACCTGGCCAGAAAAACTAAGATAAGCTTGATGAATTTCTCATCGGACCATGCCAAACACGTGCTATCAAATACTCAATGTGATGTTTTTGGTCGCATTAAGTCGTTAGTGTCGGTGCTTTGCGCTAGTTTGTACGTGGTATCTAGCGGTAAAAAGGCTCAATTCTGTACCGTATGTCTACTCCAAAACACAGTCGGAAGTGGTTGACAAGCTTGCTGAGATTGTTGTGTCTGCATAAATAAAGACAGGCAAAGTTGTCAGCTGACAGCGATGACAAGTACAGTCGAGTGATACTGCCAAGGGTTACTCGGGGTACTACGAAGCGTATTGCTTCGAAGCGATCCAGACTCAGTGCGTGTCGATGAGCCGCGACACACGCTACGTGAAAAGATTATCTAATAGGCAATGCAGCTTCGTGGTGTAAGATGATTGGGTATTAAAAGAAGACTTGACGCAGCTTTATATGAATAATCATGAGGAGAAAGGCTATGCTTCTGACACTTGCGTCAAGGGTCCTTTAGCAGCAATTTCAGAAAAACAAACAGCAATGCCTATCACAAATGGAGATTTGTCTGCGGTCGTATGTGGACAAGATACGGCTATTAAAGCGAGCTACGCTGTAAATTTAAAAAAGGAGCTGACTACGTTTACGTCGGCGAAGTGATGATATATAAATGAGTGTTCGTCCTTGAAGATGAGGATTAACGGTAATATCCAAGTCAGATGCGTAGATATAGCAGCTAGTTTTGCAGTTTCAGAACTGATCGATTCACTTTGCATCTTGCCATCACCTGCTCAAGGGGTAGTAATGACTTGGAGATCAAAAGCGCTCGCGGAGCCCTTTCGTTGTGGAACTTTCACATGAAAGGCTTGCTAGGATTCCGCCGAGGCGTGGCGCGCAGCTTCGTATATATCAAACTCATAAACATGACACAATGAGGTCGATGACATGCTTGCCTTGTATACGGCTAAGCTTGACCTGCTGAGCAAGGTGAAGCTCATTAAAGACGGGCTGGGCGTTCTCACGAGCCCCTTGACGGGATTCGGTAGCAAATTCTTTCGCAGGAAACGGTACAAAGTTTGTACGGAATAAATCAAATCCAGGTTTTGCTTTTTAAGCGTAGAGAAAGAGCGTCTCAGCATCGGAGAGGCCCTCACGGACGATGACCAGCTTCACCATGCGTCGCTCGATGAAGCCGAGGGCGCTAAGTGAGACTTGAAAAATCACTGAGTCTGTTTAGAAAAAACTCGGTGGATTTTTTGAGTATCATCAACCAAAGCAGCCGCTTGGTTAACGGCAAGTTGGGCCATGTGAGAGCGCCAGGGAGATGTCTTCTGATGGTCGTACTAGCGGGTACTGCTGCATTTAAAGGACTTTAGGCGCAGTGAGTGCTCATTTAGCGTTTACTAGTGCGCGATATATTATTGTGTGTGACTTAAAACAGTGTGAGCCCCAATGTGACCCACATCGTGGTATATACAGGGACACTACTCAAAAGTATCGAAGTACTGGTATGAGGACGACGGGATCCTGTAACATTGGTATATGAGCTGTCAGCTTCAAGTGAGGCAAAAATATCAAAACGAAGCTACAAAGATTTATAGAGTATAAGCTCGAGCTCGTATTCCTAAATTAATTTCATTTACACTAAGTCACACTTAAGGCTTTTAGTTTCACTTCTGGGTAGAATATTCAAACTCTTCTTATGTGTTTATGCTCACACAGTCAGGACTCTTCTGTGTGAGTTGCACGGCAATCCCGTCGCTTTTAAAACGACAAACTAGAAACCAACGTATTTTGCAACACAACTTTGATTTGTATCACATCCCCGTACAATTAAACTTTCGTATCATCATATTTCTGCAGTACATTAATAATTCTGTAAGGTAGGGCTTACGCAAAATCATGAAATATATAAGGCGATGAAAGCTATGAGCGCTATTCGCCATGTGCGACTTTCGGCGCTGCGCAAAGCTCGTTTGCACATCGGCCGCGCTTCTGTACCTGCAACAGAAGATTTTGTGATTCGCTCTCCATTCCAACCAATTTCAAGTCCAAAGCTTCGTGTGGGTAAGGTAGGAACTAATACGGAAAAGATCAGCGTGGCCCCACGAGGCATTGGCAGCCCTGAATTGTGGGCTCGAGACATGCCCCGTGTGGACACCAATAAAAATTTAATATCATCGTATGTCAGCAACTTTATCCAGGCGGCGGTGAACCCTTCATTAGTCACGAAATCCAGTGAGAAACAAGCATATGTCGAGGCTTTAGCATTAAATGAGGCTGTGGAAGAACTTGACATTCCACGCGAGTGCTTGGTAATGTCCGCTCTCATTGGCAGTAATGTAGTGCATCCTACTAATCCTGAAGCAGACGATAGACTTACACGAGACTATGTGGAGAAAGGCGTAAAACTAGCACTGGACGAACTCAATATCGAGACGCTAGATCATGTTGTGTGTCAGATTCCTGATGATTTGGTTCTTCGTTTGGAAAATCAAAAGGAATTAATGAAACGATTACAGATTACATGCGATGTAATGGAGACATTGTGTCATGATGGAAAAGTACAAAGTTATGGCTTTGCGATGCCAAGTTTTGACTCATCGAGTAGATTGACAGAGATAGTGGAGACAATATTGACTCCATTATCGGAACAATTTGATCATTTTTCCTCGTTGCAATTGCCTGTGCATGTAGGAAGTGCCATAATTCCATTACCTAAAGTATTGCAGGACTTTCGCCATGAACGTGAAATGTTGCTAATTGGAGATCGACCACTTGAAGCGATGTTGTCAAACGGTAACCCATTTCATTTCTCTACATATACGAGTACACCAGGGGAGGAAGTGGCACAGCTGCTCAAATCGGCTTTTAATCTTGCTATTGCTGTGGAAAAGAAGTACGAGGACAAAATTCGTTCTGAGAAGAAGCATTTAAGCCTTCCGCCAGTGGAGGATGTGGCATGGGCACACATATTAGCAAATCAACATGATCAGTTTGACAACCTTCAGGTATGGAGATACGTTCGTGAGACGCAGATCTACCCTCGACTAGACGCAACACTCAAGGAATTTAATAAGCACGAAGAGACTGCGGAATTGGGCTTTGCGTACTCGATGGCAATGAATCAATTGCTTAAGTGTTTTACGGCATCAGTTGAGGTAAGACTTTATGATCATTTAAAATACGTTGACATATCTTGAATTGCAATTTTATTTTATAGTTGATAGATGCCGACCGGGCAGCCAGCATTATGAGTGCATGGAAATTGGAAAAAGGGCTACTTCCATCAAACACGCCGTCTATTGAAGAGATAGCAGTGATGGCAACGCTTAGTTCCGGCATGGACATAGCATTGCTTGAGGAGCAGCTCCCAGCTTCGTCTTCGCTTCCATTTACTCAAAAGTTTTCTTCTCATCAGCTTCACCAGCTTGCAAGTCTAGCACGACCTTATCTCAATGTTGAAAAGTGAGAAGTTAAGCAATAGCATTTCCGTAAGAAACATCCCCTTTCTATGGCATAGTATCCTGTAGCCATTTGACATAATCCAACTTTCGAGATTGTCCTGATTATAGTTGAGAAAAGCCTAAAATATCTCGCGCTGCCGTTGCTCTTTTCCTGTCATTTCTTCAATCTGCATCGACAAGTTAATAACAGTTTGTGTAACTGACTGGTAGGTTTAGTCGCATTGTGCTAGTGTGTCGAGCTGGATAAAACTTCTCGTCAAGAAGTAAATTCGTATTCTCGATGGCACCATCTGCAGCGGCAGCGTCACTAACGCGTGACAATATCAAGTTTCTGGCCATCGCACGCGCTACCGACAAAGTAATTGTGGCTTGCTATATGCATACAGCTGGAAAGCCTGTACGCAATGGAGAAGGTGACATGAATGTGTTTCGAGAAATGCTTAGTAAAGTGATTCGTGCTCCGACATGGAAGACACAAGTGACACCAAATGGCCGTCATTCGCTTGATTGTGATCCAAATAAGTTTCACTTTACTATGAACAACGATGAGCTTGTGTTTGCAGCTATAACTTCGAAAGACTATCCCATTCGATTAGCTTTTCAGATGATTTCAGCGATTCAGACGGAGATTATACCAAAATTTGGATCGAAAGCTCTGACCTGTCGAGAGGTACCTTTTGATGATAGCAAGAATTTCCTTCTGTAATAATCTAATCGATTGTGTGGTTGTCATTTTACAGAACGGACTGGACAAGGATTGTGCGAAAATCTTTACTGCTATTGCTGCTGGGTATGATGACCGTACAAAGGTGGACAAACTATCGGACGTAATGCATCAAGTTGATGGTGTAAAGACAGTGATGCACAATAATATTCAAGTGGTCTTGTCAAATACGGAGAAAATGGAAGTTGTGGAGCAAAAAACAAACGATCTCAATGAACAAGCTAAAGTCTTTCGGAACACTGGCCGAAAATTACGTCGACAAATGTGGTGGAAAAATGTCAAGCTCACAATCTTGCTTAGTGTCTGCGCTATACTTGTTCTTTTCATTCTCCTTGCCGTACTTGGAGTCTTTAAAAAGAGCTCTTCCAAGGAGTCTAATAGATTACTTCGTGCATTTTAGCAGAGCTCATTTAAATTACGCTTAATAAAAAACACTTTGTGATATTAAAATATTAAAGTAATTTTTGACATTTCCTACAAGTGCACTACCAGTAAATCCATTTAATATGACCACCTCCTCGACTGCGCAAGAGCTAGAGAAGACGCTCACCGACCCTCGTTACGTGCGTGGTGTATTGCTACTTAAAGAAAAACGTCTTGAGGAAGCTGTGATGGCTTTTGAAGATCTGCTGCGTACCATGTGCGAAGCAGAGGGCAAGAGTGATTCACTAGCTGTTGCGCCCGTTTACTACGAATATGGTCATGCGTTGCTAAGTCTAACAGAAGCCACAGCGAGTTTATTTGGTGGAGCTGTAGAGGGTGCAGCGGATAGTGATGAAGGTGATGGTGAGCAGGACGCTAGAAATACAGCAGACGAACTCGAGGCTGCGTGGGAAGTCATGGAGCTCGCTCGTGTCATTTATTCGCGTTATCCTGGCGATGAGGCAGTTGAAACTCAGTTAGTTCGCGTCTATACGCGACTTGGAGATTTAGGACTTGAAAGTGACCAATTTGAACAAGCAAGAGCAGACTTTGAAAAGGCTTTAGTCTTACGAAAGAAGCTGCTGAAGGCCACAAATGCTGAAGATACGACGCAACTAGCGGATTTGTATTGTCAATTGGCTATTGCGTGTATCTATCGAGATTCAACAGCAGATAAAGAGAAGGAGACGATACCGAATGAAGAATTGACGCATTATATGATGGCTGGACGAGTTATGGCGGAGAATATTCATCGAATAGCTAAAAAGTGCAATGACAAAGTGCAGAAGTTTGTTGAAAGAATTCCTACATATGCATTGGAAGAAACGAGTGACTCATCGAGTGAAGGAAAGAGAAAAGCATCATCTAGAGACATTGAGGGGGATACATTGGTCTATATAGGAGACCACGTGGAGAAAATGAAGGAAGAGTTTCTCCAGTGTATTGATACGGACGAGGACAACATGAAAGAGCATGAGAAGACATTACTGGAGTACATGGAGATTTACTTAGAATTGAAAGAAAAGGTAGATGGTATCAAGGAGACGATAGCTGGAGCTGTGGCCAAAGAGAAGGCAGACACTATCATTGGGTTTGATCAGAACAAATCGAGTTCTTCTGCACCGACAGTGAATGTAATTCCAGTGGTCAAGAAGCGAAAAGTGGAGACACAGGAGACTTTAGCAAATGGCAGCAATTGATTCAGGCAGTGACCAATACACAAAGTAATATTTGTATCTTTTCGTTTCACTCACATCAGTGACTTGTCTTGAAGTGCATGTTGATTTGTGTTAGCCTACGCACTGCGATATGAGTCGCGTACGAGCTGAAAAATCTTAGTTGCGTCTGCATCAGCCGAGGCATTGACACTAAAAACTTCAAGCTGAAGCTTGTCAAGCGCATTTTCAAGTGGCACGCGGTATCGGAGACCTAAGGCCTGCATCTGCGCCAGTGCACTGCGGAACCAGTTGTCACGCGGGTCCAACCCTTCCGAGTCACATTCCGATTTATGGTCTGTAATAACGCGATTTAATCCACGAAATAGCTGTACTAAAAGCTGTTGTAACTCATCTTGCAGTCGCTTGCAATCATCTTCAAGCGCAGCAACGTCAAGCATCTCGTCGTTATCTCGGTCATCCGACGCTCGCGGTAACGACGCTTGCTCTAATTGTTGTGTCTTGGTACAAATGGCGTCTTGAACCAGCTGCAGCGTATCGTTCAGAATTTCCCACATGTATGGCCAACTATACTGCTGTACGGCATCTGAAGTAACAGCCCACGCAACGATTGTGGACGGACGCAGCAAATTTTGACGTAGCATAGCATTTAAAATCAAACCAATGTGTTGCGGTGACAATAACCAGACAGAAGCCACTGTTTTGACCACCACAAGCTCGTCAGCATCCGTCTCATCGGCCGGCTGGTTATCGCTACCAAATAACTCGTTGCGTTTTCCATACTTCTCCAACAGCAGTCGCAAATGTGTAAACGTAGCTGCACCAGCTTCCAGAATGCATGTCCATACAATCTCCACTGCTTCTGCGCGCGAGATCTCAAGGCGGGGAAGCGCTTCATTAAGCCATGAGCGCAGGGCTAGCGCAGGCGGATGACCTTTTAACTTCGTCGTGACAGACTGGTAAAAATCAGACGCAGGACTGGCTTCATCCTTTACAGCGTCATCTTCCTTAATGGGCTTAAAATGAATGCGTGGCTTGGGTGCAGGAGGTAAAAGCACGTGGAAATCCTCAGGCAATGCGTTTTGCATGTGCTGCAAGTACGAAAGACGCACGCAGCGTTCAATGACGGAACTTACAAAGAGACGTTGTGGATCATCTTCACTGGCTTCCAGTACGTACGACCACGCTGCCCATCGCCACTTAAATTCAAAATTCGAGAGAAAGTGGCTTAAGAGCAGCACAAACGACTCGACAGCAGCGGCACGCATAGTCGGCACCTCACGAAACAAAAGTTCAACTTCAACAGCCAATGCAGGCGACATGGCCTGAGCATCAGTCTTGACGAGATGATATAGCACAGAGCAGTAGTATGTCTGCTTTGCAATCGTACTCTCCCCAAGAGCAGCAACCAATAACGTTTCTACAAGCAGATACTCACTCTTGACAGGTGAGGCTCCTTCATTTTCGAAAGAAGCAAACCGATTGTTATACGCCCGACATAAACCTAACAGTACTTTAGCTGCAATTGCCGGCTTTGGGTGACAAGTCTCCAATGCATCATGAAAATGGCTGCGACTGATTAAATATGAAGCCAACGGTAATTTTGCAATCATTGCACCAGCAGCACCAGATTCATCGGATAATATTCGAAACAATGTTTTATACGACGGAATCTTTCTTGAGTCAAGCTGTAGACAAGCGATAAGTCTTGATTTCAAAATACAAATCTATTTGCATCGTACCTTCGATATGTCAATTGACAATGACACTGCCAGTTCATGGGATACTGCGCTTTCAAAACTCGACGAAAACATGTCCTGTGGATGATTAATTCCAGGCAACTTCCATGCAGCGGCTTTGTTATCTCCGCCATATTGAAGAGCGTTCAATGCATCATAAGTCAGTGACAAAGTATCACTAGATTTACACAATATCGGCACGTCATCATCAGTTTCCGGTGCCCAAAGTAGATCAAGCTGCAAGCGCCTCGTAAGCCACGAGGACGGACCAAAACTAGATCCTCGTGGATTACTTTCTTCTTCACGATGTGATACATACTCTCTGCATCGACTTAATAAACTGTCATACAGATTCTCCGATTCAGTAATTAACGCCTTGCCACTATGTAACAGCGCATCTAACACGACGGATGCGAAAAAGTCTTTCCAGGCTGCAACATCTTCTCTCACTCGAAGAGAAGCGTAAGTTTCGTCATCTACATCCCAATCCTCTGGAGTACAAAGTCCTTGAAGCGTATCTAGCATAGCTAGCACATCCTCAGCCCTGCACACTTTAACAGCAACCAATTCGGTCAATAATCTCACAGTAAGTCGTACGCGAGTGGCCACAGCATCCACGTCACCGTTCCGACGCAGCAAATCCGTATCAGGTGCGACTGAATCATCACTTTTCTCAGAATTAAAAGACTCCATGTCTTTTTGCAGACATTGAGCTGCTCCAGTTACGATCTCTCGTCCAAAAGAAGGTTTACGAGCATTTACGAGTCCTACAAGAGTCGCATACACCGCTGTTTTATGAGCCAGTCGCGACGCTCCACGCAGAACTAATGCCGCTAGATGGCCAAGCTTTACTTCTTGCTCATCTGGATCAAGTTCACGCAGCAATAATTCACAAGTACGTGTAAGCTGGTCACGTTCTACGCCGTCGCCTAATTCTATAATTGCTTTCTTAGCTAAACGCCAAGCGCGCGCACGATCACTTTCGTTAAAACGTTCGTATTCACCTCCACCACGTCTATCATGACGTCGAGATCCACCACTATAGTGATCATCCGAGCGAAATCGCTTGTAGCCACCGCCATCGCGGTCATTGTCATCGAACGATCGTTTGCGGCTTGGGCCATACATGATCACTGAGCTATTGATGGGTGGAATTTTATAAGTACGATTTCATGTGAACTTCGAATCTTTTTCACAAAATTGCTAACAAGCACAATTGCAAATTTGCAGATTATCTCAATAGAAAATTTAAGTAATAAAATAAAGTATCAAACTAGAAAATTAATAATATTGAGTGACTTAATGATAAAAAACAACGTGTGGCAGCTACAATATTTGGTAATTGTTTGGAGCACTTCCAAAACCTCGAGTGACCATTTACGATGCACTCTACACTTACTACCATAAACAAACTGTATTCCTGTCACTAAGAATCTTTTACGAGAGCAGAACTGCTGCACTCCGCTTCTGTTCGAGACGATGTCTTATAAGGTTGACTCTGTTAAGTATTGATTGACGCGTGTCGTAGACCTTATAGCCGAAGAACCTTTGTACAAATTATGTCATATGAATGGTGCAGTAAATGTTGGCAAACCTCTAGATACAGGAGAAAAGCATACATATTCAAACCTTGTTGTCGACCCTGGTCGAAGAGCCAGAAAAACTGAAACATTGAATCAGCCTTGTGACTCTTCAACATTCTTCACAGGTAGCAAGCAATGAATACATCGCCACAAGCTCTCACAAAGCCACGCGATGTTGAAGTCAATATCTTATCGCGATAACGCATCCATTTGTGATACGCTATGAATACACCATAAGCGATATACTAGGTTCGCGCCATACCGAATCGAAGGTACAAGGCATTGATTGTACTGACTTCGTCGATGCAATCGTTTTTGAATATCTAAAAGCTAGATAGATGAACGTCGTTTGCAGGAGAAAAAACATCATATAGCTTTACTATGTTGTTGTTTGATGCGGTTTAGGGTCGTTCAGGCCGAATAAGTCAATAAGAATGTCTAGCGGGATTTCTTCAAGTGTTGGTTGGTCGCTGGGGAGCGATTAGTCGATCAATATAGACGCGTTTGAAGTACTTTTGAGCGATTCCTGTGCTGCTGCGCAAGGTCAGATGTACCAAGTTATAACGTCGGACGTCGTTTTGCTCGTCAATAACAATGCGGTAAACTCGAACAATTAGCTCTTGGATTTGAATTGTAACTTTTGTCATACGATAAATGTTACCAGTTGGCCACCCAATGATGCTGACCAGCAGCGTCCACTAAGATTGGAGGACGAGCAGAAAGGGGTTTTCAGCTTCATAGCTAGTTAAGGCGATTTGATCGGCTGCAGAAAGTGGTGCGTACAGGTCCCGACTGATGAAATAATATTGCTGTCCAATTTGACACGGTTTTAAGGGTAGTTTACTCATGTATTGCCCATGCCTATTCGATTACACACGCTTTCGGAACATTTGTTAAAGAATTCCGAGCTTGGCGTGCTTCAGCACAATTTTGCGAGCAGCTGGATCTTGGATTATTATTGGGCTAAGCGTCGAGGCCGACGTATAAACCAGACGCGTCAGCGCCAGAAAGAAATGTACCCAACAGTAAATGTGGTTTCAAGCGTCGCCGTAATATGCGGGATGCATACACAACTTTTCGGGTAGTTCAATTGTGTAATGGCTCACCGTAATTATTGTAACAAGAAGACTACATTATGTCCTAGCAAATCTTTTGCAACTTTAGCTTTCACTTAAAGTTGGAAATTAGTGACTAATGGACATATCTTGTCCGATATTCAGTTTCTGGATGGTCATTGGTCAGTATTTGAACTTTTGTGCAACTTCAACAAAATATTGAGATGAAAAGTAGGTCACAGTACGAATGAAGATTTTCGGAGGATCCTGAAAATGTTATCCTAGTCTTGTGCAGAATTACACCTAAAAGTCATCATTGGATGTAGAAATAATTCAGTACAGTTGCTATTCATTTTGCTAGGAAGCAAGTATAGTTCAGTGTTTTTAACATGCTTCGAAAGGCTGAAATTTGGCGGCAGTAATTAAATTGGCTAAGTATCTTGTCAATTCGCGACACAAGAATTCTTTGCCGGTTGTATAGCAAAAAGTCTCGGGGGTTGCCGGTTGTATGGCAAAAAGTCTCGGGGGTTGCTGCCTGAAACGCTCATCGCATCTTAATTAGCATCATGGATGCATTCAAGACATTCTATCCGACAGTATGTCTTCCTTTACTCTTTAAGGTAAGGCATCAACCAGATTTCTTGTTCCTAATGTACAACTTGCCCCGTCAGTATGTCTTCTTTTCGAGGCAGTGATTCTTGTTCCTTGAAATGTACATTATGAAAAAGACAATCACCGAGCCACACTTTAAAAAAGCTAAAGTTCACAGCGAAAGCGTGGTTTGTGTCAATCGGTAACTTATTGGTGATTTTACGACCGCTTCACGTTCGTTTATGGTAATCGTGATATTGAGTCTCCAATTTAACATATTTCGAAGTGTACTAGCAAATGTGAATAAATATTGAGCTTCAGCAACTGACAGGGCTGCGTCTGGTTAAGCTAGATACGATCTTCTGTGGTCAGGTCGGACATTATTACTACTCGCACAACACTCATCTGCAGCGCGAATCATACACAGGTTTTGGGATTCTCATACATCTTGTGATATCCTATACCCTGTATCGCCTGGCGCAAGTAATCTATGTGAGCTTGAACCACCGCCTTCTCGTCCTCTGCTTCACTGTCGACAATTATATCATAGGAACGAACTAATGCAACATACGATCTGGTCTCAGAATGCGTGAAATTTTCCGCTTAAATATGACTGTTGTGATGTTAAGACCTCATGACGGGCAATCCCCAGAGAACCTCACGAGGGGGTGCTAACAGCATCGAAGAGAACAGTATTAAACGCCGTGCTGATGATACATCAACATTTCTCGATTTTTAATAAACGAAAGGGATCAGCATGCGCGGGATATCCATTTGGCCCATCTACATCCTCATCGCTCTCTTCTTAACAGGTTTTTCGTCAGCGGTGGAGCATCGTCACTTTGACCTCAGCACATCAAGACTTTGTATGAAGTCCTCACCGGTAGATTGTGCAACAAATAGCTCAAGATCGATTTGAAAGTAATCTAAGTAGATGAAGCGAAGACAGCTTTGCTATATCTGAAAAAGAGGATTGCTCGCTCAAAATGGTACAGTTAAAATTCACGATAGCGACTCTTGAGAATAGAGTGATGATGGTTCGGAACGAAGATAGTAAGCAACGTGACGAACCAAGTCGCTAGGTGTCTTTGATATGTGGTTTTCGGTGATTTTCGGGAATGATGATATGTTTCGTGCAATCGAAGTGGATAAAAGGGTTGACTGCATCTTTAGTATGCTAATGGCGCCAAGGGTTCAGCGCCATGACCCAAAAATGGGTAAAATGTGTTGATCTGAAGAAAAAATTAAGCTTTGTCGGAGCGGCTTTTGCCGTTGTAAGAAATAAGTAATGGCAGATAAACCACTCAGCGGCTTCTTCCGGACCGTTATCCCTACAACAGTGTGTATGACCCTCGCAGTCTGAGTAACTAGAAGCGTGGTGTATCAAAATCCAAACATAACCCGGCTCATCAATCGGTCGATCATTCAAGCTCCACTTGAAGAGGTTGCTGAAGATGCGATCGCACTGATCACCATCTCCAGCAACGAGTCCTACGGTCGAAGAATAGACGGTCGGGTCGATTGATGATTTACTTCGAGTCATGCAGCGAGTTTTTAGCACCGATAGACAAACTTTTTTGCGGTTATACACCGACAATGATCTAGAAATCTGGAAAAAATGCCGTCTGGATTTTCGAATGAGAGTTATAGAGCTGAATCAGCTCACACGCTCATAGGGCACATCAATGGTGGATGTTTATGTAAGAAGTTTAATCACAAATAGCGGTTGAAAGCTCAATCGCTTGTAGTACTCTTGGAGTCAATTAGTAAAATGTATCGCTGGTTACATGGTATTTGGATATACTTTCCAACCCCGATTGTGGATTTTGGCGCATACCATGAACAAAGTATTGTAGTGTCCATATTCTTGGGATCAAGTCAAAGCTATCAACAATTTTTGAACTTGAGAGGAGATCAATATTTCCACCAAACTTCTACTTAAGGTAGTCATGGCAGATTGATGTATAGCTCATGCGTTAAACAGCCCAACAGTGGATATTGCACAAAAGGATAGAATTATGATCTCAATGCCCAAGCTCATTGTGTTTCTTGCAATAGAGTTTGATGGATAACATCTACCAGATTCACATGTGTGAGCAAGAAGCTGGTGAGCGAAATAACCGATCAAAGACACTTGCACTTGTAGAGAAGAAAAATCGTGCTGGTGCACGGCAGAATACGATTTTTATTATCATGTTTTATGTCAGCTGAAATGACGAGATTTCAGACTTAACTTCGTTCCGAACCAGTTTAGACAACGGTTTGATCGTATTTCAATGATTTGAAAGCGGCTTTCGCAATTGCATTCGATGAAAATTCCAGTCAAGCTTGTAACCGGTATCTGAGTCCAGCGATCTACAATGCTGAGCAAATACATATATCCGACCTTCACATCTTGTACGGGGGAATATTGGTCCGAATTCAGAATGGTGCAAAGGTCAACGGATACTTCATCTTGAAAGCACCAAGGAAGGCGAGGCAGTCTCGATCGGATGTCGTAGACCGAATGCCCATGTCTTGCCCCTTAGAAAGGTACTACATAGGATCTCACTTTTCAAACATCGTCAATGATCTGAAGTGCAGAAATTGCTTTGTCAAGCGCACAATATTAGTGTCAGATGGTGTCTTCTCGAAGCGATCTCCAAAACTGGTGCGCCTGCAAATCTACGGTCACAGCCTCTTGAGCACAAAAAGACGCTATGCATTCTCGTCGCCATGGCGGAAATACGATATCAATGGAGAACACTAACTTTGGAGATTATCCGGCCTCCCATTCATATTCGATCAGGAGTGGAAAATGTCCCTCACGGCAAAGGTGACTCAGGTCGAAGGCCAAATCACTTGTAATGGTCGTGTGGACGCGCGACAATATGTAACCATCTTTACTGACTCAGATCTGCAACAATAGTGAACGTTGGGAACCTTAGTATGGGAAACTAAATAACTACGATTTGACCGTATTCAGACCAACGTGGGAAGCTCCACTTGATATCGCGTATTGTAGAAGATTCAGCTCAATTACTGGTTATGTACTTACCGTCATCGATGACACAGTATCATATACGATACGTTGCAATTGTTGCTTGGACGTTCACAATCTTAAATCGCGATTTTCTTTGGCGACTCATTAGCATATTGAAGATTCTTACTTTATTAATTGATGCCATTTCGAAGCAACGATGTCCCAGCGATAATTATCCCGAGCAAAACGTTTCATTCGTTCACGAACTGTCTTCGCTAGCTGTTTATTGTCTACAGCTTTGATAACGTTTTGGATCCAGAGCTCGAGCCATTCTGGATCGTCATCTACAAGCAATGTTAGATTCTGTCGAACGATTGTCGATCTTAACGTACCAATCGTCTTTCGTTGGAGTGGTCGTGGTCCGAGATCAAAGTCGTTCACAGTCTCTGGTAGAGCTGAAAGGGGATACCTGCTGGTTAAAGGGATGGCACCATTCGCCATGGCTTTCATGAGAGAGATACAACTTGTTTCCGAAAAAGTTGTTGGGTAGAGATAGAAGCCAGCATTTGCATATTCCTCGGCTAGTTGTACGTGATTGACAAGGCCCACATAGCGCACACCGGGTGTGTTATTAAGAAGTTGCTCCATTTCATTCACCCAGTCGGCAAAGTCAGTCATTTGATTGTTACCCCATTTCAAAAATGCCGGTGTGAACCCGTAGAAAACCGAAAGTTCAGCACTCGGAATGTGTTCTCGGATCCGTGGCCAGGCTTTGAGTAATGTATACAGTCCGCGATTTGGGGAGCTCCCGTAGACGAAACGATTAGCGTGGTTTGCCCCATCGACGAAAAACGATTGATCCACTGCATTTGAAACGATTGTGATCTTGGACTGAAGATGCGCAGGAAACGCAGAGGCATGAAAAGCACTAAGACACACGATTCCATCCGCATGATAAAGCAACTCGATTGAATGGCTCACAGCTAGTTGCGGAAGATCGTGCATCCACAAAAGCCGTTTACGAGCAGACAAACCTATTGCTAAAGAAATATGATACCGCCAAGCTACGAATATATCAACTCGTGTGTCGTCGGGATCGTACGCGTAGTGTGGATACCATCGCACTGTGTCTTCGTCTGCTTCATCCAGCGTGGAAATATCTTGACGAGATGGATCGCCATAGATTTCGACCCAGTAGCCAAGGTTTTGAAGCTTACGAGACAAAAACACGACAGCTTCTTCCGATCCACCAAGACCAGCATTAAGTGACGAGGGCCCCCACTGGTCCCACCAAGATTGTCCGTACTCGTGGCAGTAAAATGCGAGAACGACTTTGTGATGAGGACGTGGAATCTTTGGAAAATACCGTCCTTGAGTCGCGAAAAGTGATCGAGCTTGAGTTTGCACGGCTTTCGCCTGCAGCTGATTTCCTTCCTCATATCTTTCATGCTCGATGTACAGTGCTCCAAGATATAGGTGCAATTCATAAATGGTCGGATAGAGTTTCGTAGCATTTTCTAACAGATCAATAGCCTCTTGAGAGCGTCCAGTCTTGTCCAGCGCAATGGAATAGTCGCAAAAAGCTTGTCGTATCTCGTCTTGATTAGCACTGATTGAAAACACAACCTCCCCATAGATTGCATAGAGATCAACAATTTTGTCGAAAGCTTTCCGATGAGCATACACTTCACTAAGTTTTAAGATCGTCATCCGATCAAATGGATCAAGCTGCAAAGCAGCTTGAAATTCGGTTTCAGCAAGCGCAAATTGCCTCAGCGAGACATAACTTGACGCTAGATCAAAGTGGTACGAAAATTCAACCGGGTTCAACGCCACAGCTCGACTAAGGTACTCAACGGCATGGTCAAAGTGACCGCTCTTGTAGTAAAGAGTGCCCAATAGATGGTTTGCATCTGAATTCGCCGGACTAGCTCGTAACACACGTAAATACACATTCTGAGCTTTGACAAAGTCTCCTACATCCTGAAGCGCGATCCCTTGCTTGATTGCTCGAGATATACAGGAGTGAATGACTTTTTGCTGGTTTTCTGCTTTCATTGCGCGACTTGCTTGGATGATAAGCTGAAATCGAGGCTTCTGATCGTCTTCTGAAAACGAACGTAAGCGGTTAACAACATCGTGCATCACTTCATACGCAAACTCAATCGATTCTGTCGTTTGCTTTGTGTTAAATAAGGGCGACGTCAGCGTATGAGATGCCAATTCCTTTCGAATGCGGTGAAGAATTGTCGGCGTCTTGGCAAGATACACTGCCAAGTGCTCGTAATCTTTAATGCTTTGTGCAATTAACTCTGGAAATGGAAAAGCGTTGACGACTAGAGAGGCAGCCACACGAGAAGGAAAAGTGTCTCCCCACATGGTTACAATCGGAATATTTGCCCACAGAGCATCTGCTGCCGTTGAATGAGCATTGTAGATAAAGGAATCTAAGAAAAGGTCTGCGAGTGTGATCCGTTCAAGGTGCTCAGACTTGTTAATTTTTGGAGCAAAAATTACTCTCGATGGAAGAACACCATGCGCCATTGCTTGCTCCTGCAGCATTCTGATCACACGAGGTGCATCTGGACCTGTGGGAGCGAGCAGCCAAAGCACACTTGTCGGTACTTGCCTTAAAATGCTCATCCATACAGCAAACGAAGTGCTTTCCATTTTGTTAATTGTATTAAAGTTGCAGAAAACCACGACATCTAGTGGAAGTCCATGCTGAAGTCGCTTTTCTCCCTGACATTTTGAGTCAATACAAGAAAAGATCGAAGGCTCATACCGATTGACTTGATATGTGTTTGGAAGGTAAATCACTTGTTCTGTCATACTTGCCGCCGCTACTTCTGGTGGAAGAATCAGTTGATCGACCATGACAAAATCAGTAAAAGTTGAGCCCATCGTTCCCGGATAGCCTAAGTAGTTCAAAATGATTCGGCTCGGACGTAAGGATGTTATACCCAATCTAGCGCCTTTAGTGTGTGCCATAAGATCCACCAAAATGTCAATTTCATCTAATGCAATCATCTGAGCAGCTTCGAGGTCAGATACACCTAATAAATCACGAAAAACATCACACTTTTCTTCAAATAATCGTCGCCAAGATGCCGAAACAACCGAATTTGGACCATAGGAGTAGCAAATCGTATTAACATTTCGAGCCAGAGCCGCATGCTGCTCAATTAATCCTAACGTAAGGTGGCTCATGGGATGATCACGGAAGTCAAAGCTTAAGTATCCGACTTTTAAACGTGTAGGAGTCCGTGGACGATTCCAGGTTACGATATTCGAACTCCAAGCCAATGGTAGGAGCTGAAGCGTACTAGACTGTTCATACACTTTTGAAGCTTGTACTGCCAAAAGCTTTCGAAAATGATCTGACGTTCTGAGCAGCGTCAAATCAAATGGTAAAAAAATGACAGCATCTTGAACAATTTTAAGCTCAAGTTGTTGTTGTGCAGCACGAATGACTTGACTTTCGAGTAATTCCATGCCTTGCCAATCACATAATGATCGTTTCACATTCATCAAATCCACCAGCACATAGGACCCAAGGGCGTCAATTGCAAGCATCTCATTATATACTTCTAATGCGCTTGAGAGCAAGTTGTATTCTTTTAAAAACACTCCTTTGTTATGTAATCCTTGTAGTTTCTCCTCGGTTGTCGTAGCCATCAAAATCACATGATCTTCATGTTTCAAGGCATATTCTAAATTTCCATGTTCAAAAAAAATTCTTCCTAGATCCAAATGGGCTTGTTGATAATCTGGCTCAAGCTCCACGACTCTTTGCAATAATTCTAATGAATCATAATTACGTCGTAATGCCAACATAACTGAAGCCTTATTGTATAGAGCCTCTACAAAATTTAAGTCAATTGCCAACGCTTCTTCAAAATGCTCAAGTGCATGTAGGGAGAAAGCAACGCTCAACTTCCCGGATTCCCGAATGATAAGTCCGAGATTATTGTGGATCTTAGCCAAGTTTTCCTGATCGTGGGTTGCTTTAGCAGCTTGCAAACCGCGTTGCAATAATTGCAAAGCTTCATCTCTTTCCTGTCGTTCGTAAATTAACATGGCCAAGTTGTTATACGCTGCTGCAATTTCTGGATAAACATCGATACTCTGTCGCAAAAGTCTTTCCTTTTCTAGAGCTTCAACGGCCTCTTGTGCTGCATGATAGAGATCAGCAGCAAGCCGAAGAGATACTTCATTCTCAGGCGTCACAAGTAAAACAGTTTTAGCTTGATATGATGTCCATAAGTTAAAGAATAATGCAAGATACGCTACTAGAGGCACCATATTACACTCATTAAATGAAGATCGTCAAGCTTGACCAGCTATGTGGACAACATCGAATATGATGTACTTATTGTGTATCATTAGTTTCACGAATTTCATGGAAGAAAGCTCGAAATGCTTCCTTGGGCTCTTTGTTCGTTGGGATGTAATGACCACCAGGATGTAACAATACTTTTGGATCTACAAAGAGATTTTTGAGCGCAAGACTTCTTGCTTTAGCTACCACGGCATCTGTTTCACCAATCACGTGCAGAGATGGCATATTCACTTTTACATCACTTATGTAGTTGGGATCGTCAATCGCACCAGCTGACACGAAGATGGCAAAGTGGAATGAAAAACGTGACTCCAAATTGCTGACTATATTTACACAATACAAAAAGTACGATATATTAGGATCTCGATTTGTCAAGACCAAAACTTCTTACCTTGTCTCTGTAATATCAACGATGCCATTGTACCACCCTGACTGAACCCAAAGATACCATCAAATGGTCCTTCATTCGTGACAAATTTTGCGACATATTCAATTGCTTCTTCCGTTTGTGACAGTAGATAGTGTCCAGTCTTTTCGTCGAGTGTAAAGCTGCACCATTTCAGCTGTTTGACATTTTCGCCTGTTTCTCCGCTACCACGCAAACAATTATAAATATGATGCGCATACATGAAAAATTAGTCTCTTACTTGCTGGCGTGTGTGTCTGAGGTCGGGTCATATGGTACTTCAAAAGGAGCATCGAGGCATACTGCATTCCAGTCAAAGCAGAAGAACACATTATGGCAAACGGGACAACAGTAACACATTGATTCTCATATTATCAACCAAATTCAACGCTAGATCGGAACGTTCGACGTAGTGCAGCAATGCGACCGCGTAGCTTTAAGGCGTTTTGACGATAGCCGTGCAAACACAAGACGCGATACTTGCTCATAGTGGCTGAACGCCATATACTATTACTCTGGATTGGCCAATAATCTAATTTGAAAAAAATAATTTCAAAGTTATTTTGCACTATTTTTAAGTATGTAGAAAACACAATTTTTGCACATTATCGAGTAGACACGATGTAATATCTTCACTCTTGCCGTAACCTCCTTTCCTACATTACTTATTACTGACGCAACGCTTTACGCGTAAAGATTAGGATTTTTGCCTATATACTCAGCCATTTGTAGTGGTGTTTTACCTTATATTGTGGAAGAGACATGAGATTATGAAGTCTGGAGTTTCTCATAAATCTAACATTGGCACGCTTGCCACCTGCGTAGCAGAAAATAATTATCTAGCACCTTGATCCTCTCAATCTATTAAGTTGATGAGTTATCTGTCCTACTTTGCAAATCTGTTGGTCATCTCTATATGGTCTGCAGGTTGAGGATATTCATTAGAACCAAAAAGATCCAGGTAAAAAATTAATAAATTCAATATTAAAAGGAAAAGGAGCTAACCAACCACCTAAAAATAAAATAGTAGTTAAATCGACAGGTAGCTATTCCTTGCTACCAGATGTGGAAGATCGTCTTGGTTGAAAGGTGTACGAAACATGTATCTCTCTTGGATCAATATCGCACAATTATAGCCGAATATCGAAAGCGTATCAGATTTTATTATTGGTTTCTGCATAACAATATCCACGAAAAACAATGACTTGCTTCACAAAGTAAGTATGCAGCCGTAGGTACTCTGCAGCGGGGCTACCGTAGCTTTGCGCTTTGAGGAAGCGTAAGTTAAGCCACCGACCTCTCGTTCTATACTCAGAACAAGTACGAGTTTAGCGGAACGCAATCGGCTTACTCGAAGAGTAATTATAGCCTTAACCCAAGGCTAATTAACTCTTCGGTTCAAATTCAAACTGACTTTATTCATATTTATCAGCGGCAATTTTAAAAGCATAGATTTTCCTAAATATGTATAGTAAAATCGAAATACATGTAAAACTACTGGTTTTCCAGCCCTGTACCGTATTCTTGTTTGGGTT